GTTTTGCTGTGGGGAAGGAACGTACAAACATCCTACTCCTTTTCAGCCTATGTACAAACATCCTTACTCCTTTTCAGCCTATGACACATCCCTATGTGGTCTTGTTTGTAAATTTTCGTGGAATTTCTAATCACGTTAAATGTATAGTGTAAAGCAGCAATTTTCAACCGTACAATAATACATGAGATGTTTTTTCATCACATGGAGTTGTCAATTTTCAGAACAGGAAGACAATAATTGGACTGAAGTCTGAAGTGGTATTATTCAAAGCAGAAGCCTGCCCTTTCCTCCCGGCCGGCTTCCCTACTCTTCCTTTCTCTCCTCAAATCGTAACATAGAAGTGACGATATCCTCAGTATATGATTCCATACACGTATTGCCTCTGGCACGGCTGCCGGTTAGTTATGTAAGAGCAACTCCAGTGTAGGAGCCCTCCCCCCAGGCTATTCACTATTTAATCCACCTAGTGAACAGTAACTGCCCTTAATGAATAGTGCATTCCCCTGGCAATTGCCTTTTGCATCTCCACCTCTGCACTGAATAACCATGGCAATTGGCAATAAAATATTAGTATTTTTTTTATTTATAATTAATATTATATTATTTACTTTGTATAAATTAATATTATATTAATATTATAAAGGAATCCAACACTATCTCCAACAGTTCACCACAACTAAAAAAAACAAAAAAAAATGCACGAAAGCTGCGAGACAGAAACCATGAGCTCCCAATTGCGCGAACACGACGACGAGTTGTCGAAGCTGCGAGACGGTGCGGACGATGACGAAGCCAACCGCCTGCTGCAGCTGCAGTCCCTGTCGCTGCCGTCGTCGACATGGGACGAGGAGGAGGAGGTTGCGTTCGAGGCGCGAGAGAAGATCCTGATCTTCGACGATGCCGTCGATGACGAGTCCATGGCTGTCCCACCTTTTTCGTGGAAGAAGCTATGGCTGTTCACCGGACCGGGTTTCCTGATGAGCATAGCGTTCCTGGATCCAGGCAATTTAGAAGGGGATCTCAATCATTACAGAGGAGATGATGACTGACGTCGCCCAGACGTCAGCCTTGTGTCACATGACCTTCGAGCTCTCGGGCTGGCAATCGCTGCCGGGCCTGTCGCTCGGGCTCCCAAACGCTGGAGCATGTCCGCCGGGCAACAACCCACTGTTCAATCCACTGTCCCCCGAGCAAATGCTCCCGCTTTCTTTCTTACAACCATCAACATTAAGTTTAAATCAATTTTGAATGAAGAGCTTCCCAGTGGAGCAAAGATTCAGTCTTATGGGGTTTATCAATTTTGTGAGTATTAGAAAGCTAACCATTCATGAAAATATGCACAAATAGCGATGGTAGGTTCATCAAACATTGCAAAATCCTGCTCGAAAACAAATGTATTTCGCCAATACCAAATAAACCAACAAGCAATGGAAAATACTAACATCTACTCTAAACCCCCCAATATGAGTGATTTAGTGGTGAAATTAAAATGAAGCCAATCATGAAAATTAATTGCCTTAGGAAAATCTTTGACACTCAGGGTTATCTGTAATGGTAATTGGTAATATTGTCTGCCAAGCATATACTGGACAACGGAGGTGTCAGACTGAACAAAAGTGGCCCGACTAGCCAGAGATAATGAATTCACCTTCCAAGCATAAAGTCGAGCTTGAGTTGGGGGCCACTCTAACAAGACCGATAGAGTTTCCAACTTTATCACTTGCCCAATCCGTCAGGTATAGAGTTTTACCACAAAAGAGATTGATATTAGTTAGAGTAGTAATCATATTTATAGCCACCATTGTTGACTTCCCCCATTGATGTGGGACTGCCAACAGGAAGACCAGTTAGATCCCCAGAAAATCTTGTTTGTTGAGTACTCAAATAATATTCACAAGTGCTCCTGATCATAAAATTCAAGGAGCTGCTTCACATGATTATGCCGGGCAGCAACATTTAATCCATCAACACAGACCCAGTCAACAACAGTTGCTGTTGGTTGCTCCCACCTAGGGATGGGCAACAATTATGGTGGGTGGGAGTCCCACCATTCATCAAGCTGCAGAAACGTATTGCAGTTCAGACAATTAAAGAGAGGAAAAACAAGATGAAAACAAAAAGAATTTGTCTATACAACTACTGTACAACGGTTATGGTGGGTGGGAGTCCCACCATTCATCCAACTGATAACGTAGAAAAATGGACTGTCTATACAACTTCTGTACAACTAAAAAATGCAGACCAACTCCGCGAATGATGGTCACACACCAAACCCCTAACATAGTTGCAATCTTCCAAGCACTTCTGAGCACTCAAAATTGCAGCCTTAAGTTTGGGCAACCGTTTCTCCATGACAATTTTCTCTTGCTAAGCGCATGTTAATCTAAAAACATAGTCAGAGATATTCCTAAAAGGCTTATTATATTTACACCCCACATATTGTTGAATAAACTCCACATACTTAATACACCCCATATTTACTTTTTCAATTAAAATTTATCTTAATACACCCCATTTACTTCCTCATATTACCCTCCCACCCCATTCTCAACATACACCTTACATTTTCTATATACACTCTACATTTTTTATATACCCCACATTCTTCACGTCTTATAATACTCAATCACAATCAAGATTGGAGGAAGATGAGGCTGCTGAGACTCTGTTGAAGGTGGCAGATGAGGTAATACGCTGAGGTTTAATGACAAAAATTCAAGGGTAAAAGCAGCAAGGGAAAGGAGAACAATCAGAGGGTCTCTTGTAATGTGAATTGCACTAGGACTTTGCCCAGATTGGCAAAAACGTAGCTGAATGTTGATGTAGTTTCATTGCATTTTCAGATGTATGAAAAAAAAACATATTTATTTATTGGTGTTGAATTGTAGAACAGAGATTGTGTTTAGCCATTTTATTAATATTATCATTTCTTTAAATTTGGGTTATGCTGTGAGATGACATACACAATGAAATATCGTTAATTTCTTTGCACTCCATTCAAGTTCTAATATGGCAGTTTCATCATTTTGCTTGCATTTGTTGGGAAGACAAAAAAAGTAATACGTTAAAAGTGATTTGGGGTTTATTCAGAATTTTTTTTTTTAAACCTAATAAGGTCAAAATTGGCATTGCATAGTAGAGTGTATAAGTCATTTAATATCAAATTTGAATGTGGGGTGTATTTAATAGTACGTGGGGTGCTAATAAAAAAAGCCTTCCTAAAATGCTTATTAATAAACATCACATATTTGAATGGTTTAATATGTAGAATGAATTTAACATAATAGTTTCTGGCACATTCCCTTATCTCACAATGCTCAAAATGGAGTTCAAGTTTATATTATTTGACCGAGGTTTGCTTATATTATGTTGTGCAAGGACTTGAGGGGCATATGTAACGGTATCGGCGTACAGCAACTGGCGGGTGAGGGGTAAGGCGATGCAACCATCATGGCTTGTACTTGTAGAGGTGATCAAATTGGTGGTAGTAGTGGCGGAGGGTTGGGAAGCATGAGAATTTAGGAAGACAGTCAAATCATCAATGGGAAGAAAGGCGCAGTGGTCACCATAAAAGTGGTTAGTGTCAAGGTACGTGAAGAACAGTTTTTCCGGCAGTAGAAGCTGCGGCGGCTGTCACTGATCCAGGGAGGCCGTTCCGATAACAATAAGGTCAAGGTTAGTGGGCTTAATTGGACCGTCGTCTTTAAAGAGTTTATTCATAGCGGGGAAGGGCTGAAGACTCCGTTAAGATTCCTCCCTTTGCAAGGAAGGTCGCAACTAGAGAGAATGGACTTGCTGATTGCAAATTTGCTTGAAGTTGGACTAACAAGTGTGTCTCAGAACACTAATATTCATCATACAAACCCAACCAACTACAAAAATTTCATAAAAAATTAAAACTCCATGTTAAATTGTTAATAGTATTTGCGGAAATAAGCATAAAATTTTACATTTAGGTACTGATTAAGTTAAAATCATAGCCTACTGCTATTATTATGGTGATTTATTTCCCCAGTGGAGAACGATTTTGTGAAAACAATCCAAAACCCTAAACCCTAGTCACAAAATTATTCTCCAAAACCCTAACCCTAAATTTTTTTTCCCATAATCATTACCCTGTTGCTCGGTCGAAATAGGAGTTGAAGTCGATCAAACTCGATGGAAATAGGAAAGGTATGTGAGACGGCTCGTCGCACTCGAAGAAGATGACCTAATTCAGGGACGTCTTCGTTCCGTACACCTATTTGCCTCCTTCTGATGAAACGGTTCATTTTTAACAGGTTTTCTCTAAGGCGCCCACATAGTAAAAGCATGGCAAACCCACTTCTTTTTTTCCTCTTTCGGCAAAGAATACCCATAACCTTTTTCAACCTTGGTTAATATTCAATAATAATTGATATATATAAAATTTTTTATCTCTGAATGAATCCATGCGGCTCTCTTATCCTGAAATTTTGAGTTTCAACGATAATCATTGTATTTAAGTAATAATTGGATCGTATTATATTATTGTACTTGTAGCTGTCTATGAACGACACATTCTTGTTAGGGAAGAAAGAGGGAAAAGTAGAGAGAAAATGGGAAAAGAAGATAAAACTTAAACATTCAACATTTCACGTAGTTCCCTTAATATTTTTCATAGTTCTCAAAAGAGAAGGAAGAGACTATATACGTAGTAGTTCAGGAAACCACAACTCAGAAGACCTAAATGGGCTTATTATACTTAAACGGGTTACGCCCAATAGGATAGGAACCCAGCAGAAACCAGGATAGGTTGCAGGTTGGGAATCATGGTGCTGAACCTGCTGGTGGAGAATCTGGATGGGCGACTTCTTTATTATCACCTAGTTGCCCATTCTTTGAAGTTTTGGAGTTGGAGGACTTAGATGAAGTTTTTTCAGCAGCAAGGGGCAACCCTGGAAGTCCTGGGAGGCCTGGGAGGCCTGGGAGACCTGGGAGTCCTGGGAGACCTGGGAGTCCTGGGAGATCGATTGGGAGACCTAGGAGATCAGATTGGTTGAGAGAGGGATCAGGCATTTTGGGGTCCACCTGAGAGGAGGATGGGAATGCCATCTCTGAGAACTTCTGGGAGTTTAATTTCTTGGAATTCTGAATGCTGGGTTTCTGGTTGCATAAGCTGGGTTGCTTGAGAGGCTTGAAGGTGAAGAAACCAGCAGAGAATATGTGAGTCCCTTGCTTTCTTGCCTTGAGGTGTAGGGAAGATGAGGTGGCTGATGAGGCCACAGCACAGTAGGGTTCACTGCTGCGGATTAGTTTCACGGAGCATCCTTCAATTTTCTTGACATCTTTGCTCACTGAGAAGGGCAGATTGACTTTGAATTGCCCATGGCTGTTTGTTTTCACTTTTACGTTGAAACTTGGTTTTGTTGAAGTCCCATCTTTGCATTCCACACCAACAGAAGCCTCTGCACAAAAACCCCACAAAATTATTGATATTGTCGATAATGCATCCATAACATGTCAGGACATTTTGTTGTCTGTTGGAAAGAAATCGTGATTGAAAGTAGAATCCTACCGTCAAGGAGTTAGTTTAGGCAAGATTTTTTTTTGCAGTTGATATGTGTTATTTAATTTTGGGAGACTTTGGATGTGGTCTTTAGCTATGAATATTCTTTGATTGAAACCTTGTTGATTTTTAATTTTTGATCGAGGTCCCTGAAATTAATGTGATAATTTATTTCTATGTACGTTACTATATTTTTTAAATTAAAAATTAGAAATTTTAGTTGTTTATATAAATGAGATTTTAAATAAAAAATCATAATTTGTGGGATTAAAAATATTAAAATATAAATATACTATTGTGTGTGTATATATATAAACATGGGTACATTCATCAAAATTAACCAAAAAAATTATTGTATCAAAACATGGGTAAATTCTTCAAAATCACAAAAAAAGAAGAAGAAGATAATAGCTTAATAACATTAGTAAATTTCTTCGATTAAACTTGACATGGATACATTTTAAAATCAAAGAAAAAAGAACGTACCCATATAAGTTTAAAAATGGATTAGAAAAAAATTGAATAGATTATATATAAAAAAAATGGTACATTTTACATATAACAAATTGGTATATTTAAGAATGAGTACATTTGAAGATTAAAAAGTTTTAAATGAATGGGTACATATAATTAGCATGGGTACATTTAGCAAAATAAAAAGTACAAATAAAAAAAATATGGGTACAAATACAAATAAACTTTAAAAAATATGGGCACAAAAATAAATTAATATATGGGTACAAATTAAAATTGAAAAGAAAATTGATACAAATTAAAAAAGAATTACAAATTAAAAATGGGTACAAACTAAAACTAAAAATATATGTTAAGTCATAAATATAAATATACTAATTGTAACATTTTTAACATTAAATGAATATATTTAGAAATAAAAAAATATTTTATTATTAAAATAATTAATGATGTTATTAATACCCAAAGACCTTGATAAAAAATTGAAAAAGAATATGATTTTAATCAATGAAGTAGCAAAAGGAAGGATGAGAACCTAATTTCTCCTTTAATTTTTCGTAGTTGTATGGTTGACTCTTAGGAAATACCTGTATAAAGGTTTTCAGTCATTTAGATTTTACATTTTCTCCATTTGTACACTTTTGTTTATTTATTTCTTTTAATTTTTCTTGGACTTATTCAAATTTAAAGATTAAAATATAAACATGAGTGTATATAGAAGAAGAGAAGGGGTGTACGGAAATCATTGAACGGGCTACAATAGAAAAATAAAATTGATGAAGAACTTGTTGAAAATTCAAGACGAATTTACCTGAAATGAAATGGCTAGTATTTGAGAAATCCTCTTGGAAACATGTGTCACAGTATACAGTGCCTACAACAACTGCAGAAGGCTGGATCTCCTCATAGCTAGCCTCTGAAGGAGTATGAAATGTAAGAGTAGTAACCAGAAAGATAACAGTAAGAAACCAAGACATTGTTTTACAACCTATCTATTTCCCCTCTAAGAAGCTCTGATATTATTGACTCAAAGAATGCGTTGATACAGGTTGCCTTTTATATCAATTGCCGAGGCCTAATATAAATATTCTCTGTAGGATTATACAATTGTTTTAGATATAAAAAGGACACTGGTTGGCTATTTTACAAGTACACAACAAAATTAAGTCAACAAATTAATTAATTGTGAATGACTATTTTGGAATATTATAACCTGGGGTCCATCAAGCTTCGTTTTTCCTGAAACGGATCCCATCCATTATGTGGTTGGCTATTTTACAAGTACACAACAAAATTAAGTCAACAAATTAATTAATTGTGAATGACTATTTTGGAATATTATAACCTGGGGTCCATCAAGCTTCGTTTTTCCTGAAACGGATCCCATCCATTATGCAAGAATCATAAGGATCTCTACATTTTAATCGTTTATCATGAATCGTGTGGTCATAAATAATTTTATTTTTATTATTTTAAATTAAACACAAATAGTACCTGACAAAAATTGATACATGATTCACGATGAACGGCTGAGATGTGGAGATTGTGCAGCAAAAAATAATCACAAGGTGACACGTGAATTTTTGGGTAAAGAGGACAAATATACCCTTGAGGCATATCGGGATTCCTACGCGCGAGCAGCAGACAATCATCCGTCAATCAAGTCAAAAGTGTCCAAAATAGGTAACAAATTCAAATATATTCTCATCCATCCTCATCTTAGGTAATTATTTTATAACCTACATAACATTCCATTTAAGTGGAGGTTAAATGACTAATTAATGGATTAATTCCTAATTAATCCATTAATTACCAATTAAATCATCCATTACACCCCAAAAAATACCCAAGGGTCGGCCACTCTTTCTTCCAAAGAGGGCTGGTCATGCTCTATAAATAGGACTCCATTTTCTCTAAAAACCTAGTTCCACACTCTTGCAAAACTTCCAAAAACTCTCCAAATACTTTTCTCTCTAAATTCTAACTTTGGCATCGGAGGTTCTTCCGCCAAAGCCCCCCCATTCATCGTGGGCATGTGAGGCTCTTGGCCTTGACCTAAGGTGTTAATTGTTTTGTAGATGCAATTTTGTCCAAGAAAAAGAAGGCGAAAATTTGCATCCACAGGGATCCGTAGGATCCTCACATAATGGATGGATCCGGAGGGTATCCGTGTTTCGTTTTTCCACTAATGGAAAAACCAGTCAGCTGCAAACCAGAAGAAGTGAACATAGATCAGTTTCATTCCCTACCACCAAACCAGACAAGGAAAAAAAGGTGTGGGATGGTGGGCAAGTAGATTGAGCCTTGAGGTGGTTTCTTTGTTGCTGTAAAAGTCCCAAATAGAATAATTGGGTTTCGGTTAGGCAGACCTGGCAATTCCTGACACGACCTGATAACCCGACACGACACAACATGAAATTAACAAGTGTTTGGGTCGACACGATAACGAATTGGATCGTTATCGGGTAACCCGATAAGCACTTGTTAAGATAACGGGTTGGTTCAGATATACATGTGAGTAACACGATACACGATAAGTAAAATATTAATTTAATAATTTTATAACCCTAAAAAAAAATACTATAATAGTTATATATATTAATTTAACAATTTTATAGCCCTAAAAACTATAATATATATTAAATATTAAAAATTGGTGACCATTGGATCGGCTTAAATATACATACCATTCAATTTCTTAAGTGTTATATGTACAAAATAAATAAATTTAAATCTACTTAATAAATATATATATTCATCATTGAACTTGATGGGATACGAATTCTACGAAACTAATTTCAACGATCCAATCATCAAACTTGTTTGTATATGCTTCGAAATCGTATCAGCAAAAAATTGCAAAAAACAAACATTCAGAGATCGAGATCGCATGTGGCAATGTGTGGTATGTGCAAATTTAAGGAAATTTTTTTTCTTTTCTTAACGGGTCATAATGGGTTAGGTCACTTTACCCGACCTATTAAGGACCCGTTAAGATAACAGGTGTGACATGACACGACCCGTTAAGATAACAGGTGTTACACGAAAACGACACGAACACTACAGACACGATCCGTTTGCCAGGCCTACGGTTATGTGAGAAACTTGAAAAAAAGATTTGAAATCTTGTTTTCTAATCAATTGCATTACGACACTTGATGTATCGAGTCCAACATACTTGATGTACCACTCTACACACGAGATATGTAGAGTGGCTACAAATTTCATGAGTCTGAAGCGTACACTATCAGCAACAATAGGTTGTTGCATGTATTTATTCGTGTTTTCTCTTCGCACAGAAACAAATGATGCATAGGAGCCTACTTTATTGGCTATGACATTCCTGTGAAATTCTATCGTGTAACCGAGGATATCTATCATGTACACACAAATGATGAGCTCCAACTATAATGACTAAAAACATATAAATATATACAATTGGGAATATCTTAATTATAACTCTTAAACTTGATAAAAGTTGTACATACAGAAAGATTTATTTGTGGTTGTCTCGCATAACATAAATACATGTGAAAACTAAAACTTACAATAAAAAATGGCTACTTTCCATTGTGTCAGAATATGGTATGAGAAATATTAAGGAGACCCTCTTAAAGTGGGACTCTTCATAGACTCTCTGTCACCTTACAGTTTACAGTCATTCTAGTGCTAACATTATAAAACATTATGTCAAAAACATGAAGTGACAGATAGAGAGTCCATAGAGAGTCTCTTTAGCATTTCTTATATGGTACTTGCAGGGAATAAATAAAGATTTTATCAATGTTAGAATATGAGTATGAAACTGAATATTATAGCCGGTTGTAGTGTTTCAATTGACATAGAAAAGTCTTGCTAGAAAGCTTAAAACTATCCTAATTCTAGTAGGATTGTATTTCATATATGATTTGAATTCATAGTTGGTATCCTATGGTGTTTCTAATAGGAGAATTATGAGGATTAATCTATTATAAATAGTGGCCACTGCTCTCACAAAATGCACGCTCAATATTGAACTAAGACCTATTGTTAGTTTGAGTACTTTTGGTTTTGAAAGAGAGGAGAAGGTGCACTGTTTAGAAGTCTGCTTTGGCTTCTTCGTCTACTACATTTACAGGTTAGTTTGTCATTGTGTTTATCGAATTGTGATTTTAATACTTGAATAAATTTGTGGTTCATGAGCTTAATCTCTTAACTTATATTTTTTGATAAGTTTAATCTTACATGTGGTATCAGAGCCTAAGATTGTTGCTCTTGAATTCAAATTGAAAGTTAAAAAAATAAAAATAAAAAAACAAACAGCAAAAGACGTGATGGTAAATTAGCAGTTGTCAAGCTTAGTTTGTGAGATAATATGTAGGTTTTGAATGAGTTTGCTATATGCATATCATGTTTGCCGCAATACAGGTTTGTAATATTTACGATTGCCTGCCAAACGAATGATGGCTAAATGTTGAATTCAATTTGGTAAAATTGAACTACTAAGCTTCAACAGCTATTAATTTTTCTTCTATGTGTTTGATTCCATGATGATGAATTTTTATAAGAATTAATCAAGGATTCATTGGGTAATTATGGAATGCGAGTACATAAGCTATTGTTTTCGTGGGTCTGATCGGTTTGGATTAATGAATTTGATTATAAAGATGTTCATAAAATATGCCTTGTACAGACCAAATATAAGTAAGATAAAAGAAATATGAAATCTTGGTTTGAAGACATTAATAAGTTTTTTGTTTGTCCAAGAGATATTAACGTTTACGGTTTGTCTTTTTGCTGGGAATTTGTGTCGATGGGATTTGGGCCATCACTTTGGCGATGGGTTCGGCGGGTATGTAACAATGGCGATGTACTTCGATAATCTGCGATGATACGGGTCCACTGGAATTGGTGGTGATGACAATCCACATGGATGGGTCTCGAGGATTGATGAGTAATTTGTTTTGTTGATTTGTGGTCGAGAAATCTCGGTCGGGTCAACGAATATAGGTCCAGTGATGCATTTAGGTAACTTAGTTCATTGTTTCATGCATGATTAATTTGTTCTCTTATATGCATGATTATACTGTGATGATTTAGAGCATGATGAATTAGGGCTTTCATAAGGTTTTATCTTGAATTGAATTAGGGCTTTTATAAGGTTTTATCTTGAATCCTTTTCTGCTAAACCTTTCTTCTCAGTTTCGAACATTTGTTATATCATGTCATTTTGCTTGTAAAATTGAGTGTCGTGCATCAATTATATTTTGATGGATATTATATAATAAAAGTTATATTATATAATATCAAGGGGCTTCCAAGTATAAAGAAGCACAAACACGAATCTATTTCAATATATACATGGATGCATAGTGTGCTGGTGCATGTATCTACTTTGCCATTCACATTGGTTAAGCCAAAATTTGAACTTATGAGCATATATGATTAAGGATTTTTGTATAGGTTGAGTCTCATCGATTGTCATGATGAAGCAAATATGCTTAGTCTTTCTGACGGCTTAAAAGAATGCTAACGATTTGTATGTTATGCATTGTTTCCCGTATGAATCTCGATATATATATATATAATTATACGGAGCGGCACATGCACATCTTATTGTATCTATATCAAATAGAACTTGCATAAGTTTATTTGCATATTGATGCATGCATACAAGAAAATATGTGAACAGATGAATGAACATATATATGTGAAATATGCTTTGGCTAGAATCGTTATTGTGCATATATGGCGAATCTGTATACATTGGTATAAATTGGGTTTTATCTTGTAATGATCTTATTTTTCATTAGTTGACCCAAATTAGATTTTGTGGCTATATATATTGATCGTAGCCTTAAAAATTTACTTGTATGATTATATAAGTCAAGCTATAAATTTTGAGAATTAGCTTGTGTCATTTATATAGAGGAATGAGAAACAAATTAGATTATGTGACTTGTTGTCCATATTTTTGTACAACACAAATTGACATTGCCGAATGCATATTGATTTAATTTATGAATTCGTAAGAAAGCATGTGCTTATTGTATTGTGAAAATCATGGAGTTTAAGATGCATTCTTATTGTATAGGTGTATTTGTGATTTCATTTA